GTTTTCCATGTTCTAGATATTTGCTGATTGCATTTCTTTTTTTTTCTTTCTTTTATGAGATATAGACACTTCTTAGAAGTCAATGCTGATTGCATTTCTATAGTGTAGTTCAACATATCCCTTTGTCTGCCATATTTCCTGTAAATTGACAGTTGGATCTAGAAGCCAGATCAGATGCATATTCAATTTTCTTTTGGCAAGACAACTTCATAGGCTGTTTCCCTTCTTCATCAAAAAGGCATATATAGATTGTCTATTTTTTTTTCTTTTGTAATATTAGCAACCATTGAGTAGCATTGCCTGGATTCATCAATTTATTAGGTGTTACAAAATGATAATATTCCAATTTATTCATCCCTTATTTGCTTATCTGTTAGAATACTTCTGAAAAGAGAGAAACTTCCTCCTCATCTACTGTTAGGCTACCCCGTGGTATAGTTCATACAGGAAAGGCAGGCAGGTGAATGCTTGATTCTTTCCTCTTTTTTTTAAACCAGTTTTCAAGATAAATTTATTTCCTATCATCCTTTGAGGGTGACTCATTAGGTTGGATTTTTTTAAGGTAGTTATGAACTCTTAGATTTGAACATACTCATTGGTTTCAATTAATTGCAATTATCCTTCTTGAAGCTCAAATACTGTACTCTTAGCCAGTCTCTGCGAGTTGGCTCCATAGTCTTTGGGCTTTCTTGCGGTCTGGAATGATGAAATAGATGTTCTAGGTTCCTCTTGTGTATTTTGTGCCCCAGACCTGGAATCAGCTATTTTCCCAAGAAGTCCTGGTTTCTTATAGTTGGAAATGCAATTGGTGTTTCTGTGCACTAGGAATGCTCATTGCTACTGGGATGATTATTGTTTCTAGGTCTCCTCTGTAGACAGAGCTGGGAAACATATTTATCTTTTTAAAGGTAAAATACCTTATGAGTTTATCCTGATATTTCTGATTGAAATTCAGAACCAATGGTATTTACTTCTTCGATATAAATGTTGTGACATAAAATACAAGGTTAGTATACAATTTGTTACAAAATTTAAATTAAAACAAACAGCTAGGTTTAACCCATAGTTAAACTCATAGTTCTTAGCCTTCTTTCTGTTTCCAACAAACATGAGGCTTAACTACTCTCTGCCCTCTGCATCAGTGGCTGATTCTATTGGAGACTCCCACCCTGCGTATATCGGACTATGTGATGGGACACGTGTAGCTTGAAAAATCTTCTTAGATGATTCTAACTACCTCCTTCACTTCCCACCCACACCCCACTGAGAAAGTCTTTCTCTCATCCAGGCTTCCACCTGGCGGGAGCAGAATTTAATCACCTGGGGCCTCTCCTGGCCTGTTGGGACCTGCCTCTGCCTTGGTTTTCTTTGCCCTGCAGCGAGCGCCTGCTGGGGGTTAGTGCAGGGTCATTCATGTGGTTCTTCAGGTGATGGCTGGCCGTGTGTGTCACAGAGCAGCACACAGTGACCAGGCTGATGGAAGCAACCCAGATAATGGAGGACGTCGATGGGGATGTCCTTGTGTTCCCAGAACTGGCTCAGGTATCACGGCAGGGAAGGAATCCACAGCAGTCTCAACTAGAGGCTCTCTCTGTCCACTGGCAGCACGTGGGGAGGGCTGGGAGGTGGTGGGTAAGAAGGGAACCTATTGTCAGACTCAGGTCTCTGACTGGGCGGAGCCTCTCTCATCCTCCATCCCAGGAAGCAGCTGGAGAACTCCCTGCCATGCCCAGAGGAGAGCTGGCCCAGGAAAGAGGGGACTGAGACTTCAGGCAACCACAGGGCTGGGAAGGGAACCCCAGTCTCAGGCCTAGACATTGCTGCCTGCCTAAAGTCATGTAGGGGGCCCTGAGGACTCTCCATGAGAAATTAATTGGCCCTTATCCAAAACAGACAAGCAAAATCTCCCACACTGGCCCATGCAGTGCCAGAAATACAACCAACCAACCAAAGACTAGTTTGCAGAGTTAAAGCACAGCTGAATCAAACTTGCAGACACACCTAGGAAAGTTAGCTCCTGGCGCCTGCCTAACCACACCTCAGTGTGGATGGCTTTGGCCCCTGATGGGAAGGTGCCCGGAACACTAGGAGTATTTCAAGAAGCCCCTGTGGCTGCCTGTCTGGTACCTGACGGAGGAAGATCACTACCAGCAGGGCGGAAGGAGCATGAGAAGGAGGACTACCTACACCGGAAATGGCAGCCCAAGCGTCAGGGGCTGTTCTTGAACAGTCCCTCCTCCCAGTCCTCCTCGGCCAGGGCATCCTCGATGTCTTCATCCTCCTTCCCAGCTGTGGTCTGAGAATCTGCCAGCCTTCTGCGACCCTGCTGCTGTTGTCCCCACCGCCCAACCCCTCCATCCTTTTGCATCACTCCTCCACCTTAGAGGGACAGGGAGATCCATGGGACTAGGACCCTAAAGGCGGCACTGTCCTCACCTGCCAGAGAGTAGGCCCGTCCTAGGAATCAGAACAGGAACCACCTGCAGAGGACCCCAGAGTCTTCGCTGGATGTCTTGGTCTCTGCACTGGCCAGGGAGGCAGCTGCCCTTCCCTTGAGCTGAAGTGAGCCGTGAGGGTCCTGCCTCTCTTGGCCATGTTTTAGCCACCGGTGGACTTGAGGGTTGCACATGTTTTGTGGGCATTTCCACATGGAGCCTACTCAAATCCTCACTGGAGAAGTCAGGGTCGAAATGAAGCCTTCAGAGCCCGACTCAGGGCTTTACATCCTGGGGTGCAGCTGCAAGAGGCCACGAATGGGAAGGGCTGTGTCCCGCCCTCCCAGGGCTGTAGCAGTGCAGGCCTGGTGACAGGGCCAGGGGCTGTTTGGCACTCCAGGCCTGGCAGCAGCGCCTCTAGGTGCACTGAGAAACTTCTGACTCGCCCCTCCTTCACCCCTCAGATGTGGAGATGGGAATCACAGGCAACAGCAGGGGTACTCCGAGAAGGGGGATGGGATCCGTGGGCAGCAATCCCCTGCCCCTCCAGGCCCCTCCCCTTGCCTCTGGGTAGCACTGCTTTTTATGGGGTGGGGTAAAATTACCAAAAAAGAAAACCCAAACTGAAAATGAAACAAAACAAAATCACCACCAACAAAAACATTCTGTCCTCTATCCCCTCAAAAAATGAAAACCAGGAAAAGACCCTCTATAGGTTACATTTTTATAAAGCCAAACAAAGCTCACCTCTGATGATGAGATGAAGGTTTAGGACAGGGGTCCTCAACCTTTTTAAACACGGGGCCAGTTCATTGTCCCTCAGACCACTGGAGAGTGCACACTGTGGGCCTGGGACCAGTCGGCTGCTAAGCAGGACAGGCAGCCGCGGCAAAAACACCCGGCAGGCCGGATAAATGTCCTCAGCGGGCCGCATGTGGCCGGCAGGCTGTAGTTTGAGGACATCTGGTTTAGGGTGTAGAATCAACTCCAATGCCTTTCAGGAAAGGACTTGTCACCTTCTCAGACTGAGGCTGTCCAGACCTTGCTGGCTGGCTCTCAGGACAGCACAAGGTCCTGGCCTTTGATGTCAGGGGCTGATGTCAGGGAGGGGTTTGGTTTTAGGGCTCAGATAGCCCTGCGGTTGCTCATCTGGAGATTGCAAGCACTCAGTCTCACTCTCTGAGGGCCCCCGCAGGCTTTGCTCTGTGTGCTGGGTGGGCAGGGTAGGACAGCAGGGGTCCCTGTAATGAAGGGTCACAGGACATAGAGGCTTAGTGCTCGTTTGGGATATAGGGAAGGAAAAGATGAATTGAACAGAAGGAGATGTAAGGTTAGTCCAGAGGATGGGACTGAGGATTGTGGGGGTTAAACAGTAGCTCACAGCCCCCATGGGCCATGATTGACCCTTTCCTGTTTTCTAACCTTGACCCATATTTCGTCACCCCATACCCTTTTTAGATTTAAAAGATGGGGTCCCACTGACAAGGGACAGAGCCAGAAGGCCATGGGGTCAGGAGTCCCCTCACCTGAGAAAGATGCTTTAGCTGAGAGGCACTGACTAGGTCCCAGGGACCTGGGGCGGGCTCCACCACCAAAATGCTGACATAGAGCAAACCCAGAAGCAAAGGCAACCCCTACAGCAGCTGGGTAGTGCCAAGACCTGGAGATCTGAGCTTAAATCCTCATCAAGAGAAAGAGTAGGCAGTGGAAGGACAAGCAGGTCTAATGATGGGGTGAACCCATGTGTCCAAGCCCAGGACCTTTCTAGGCTACGGCTGCCAGGTCCTCCAGGGTGGCTTGGAAGCCAGTCGTGGGCTGCCCTCTACAGGCTGGTCAGCCTCCCTGCAGCTGAGCTCCATCCAGGACTTCAAAAGGGCTGAGGAGCCCAGGGGCAGGGGCGGAAGGGAAGCTTTAGTTGGGGAGCCCAGTGCAGCACCCTGCATCTTCCCTCTGCTGAAGGGGGACAGTGTGGGCACGCCTGGACTTCCAGGACCTATAGGTGAGAGGGACAGTTGGTTCCTCGAGTGCAGGGGAAGGGGAAATATTTCTCTCAGGTGCTTGCAGGGCTGAGCTACCTGGGTCCACTGAAGAGGCTGCAGGAAAGGCACGGGGAGAGTAAATGAAGGCTGGCCGAGGGTTGGTGGAGCCCACAAGAGAGTGGCCATGGGACTCCTGCAGAAGCCAGGACCGGCTTACCCTTCAGGGGCCCGCTGCTCTTCCCGACAGGTCTCTGAGAGCCAGTCTGTAATACTCAGGGCCCAGCAGCCCCAGGTGCCACCCACAGATCCACCTGGGGGGCTGTGGGAGAGCCAGGGCAGGCTCGGTGTCCCTGTGCCCAGAAGGAAGGGCAGGCGGGAGACAGAAGTGAAGGAAAGGCTGAGTTCCGGTCCCCATGAACCTGAGAGTCCCCACTCCAGAGAGTCCGAAGCAGGAAACACTCCCGTGCAGGGAAAGCCTGAAGGCACAGAGGGAAGGAAAGTGAGTCACACAGCAAGAACACACCCAGGACTGTTTCAGAGAAGGGAAGGATGTGGATCAAAAAGCAAACAAACAACAAAAAACATACCTTTTTATATAAGATTTCACATTTAATTTGGTCATAAATTCATAAATACGTGAATATTTCATATCTCATTGCCTCCTTCATATTGCTTAACAGTACCAGCAGATTCCAGTAGGGACTTCCCATGGAACAGTGGCACCAAACAGTACCCAACACTCAGGAAAAACCATGTTAAGTGCCTCTCATGTGTCATGTACTATTTGGCCCGGATCTTAAACCAAACCAAACCAACCAACAAACAAAAAAACCCTGAACAATTTCATGTTGTCACAAAGGTTATTTTAAAAGAATAATCATGACAAACAATGATAAGGCTAATACTCTACATATATCTTCAAGGAAGTCCTCAGAGAAAGGGGCAAGGGACCAAGACAGTTCTCCTACAGTACCTATTCACTTATGAACATCTACCTATAAATAAATAAATAAATATTCATATGCCTATAAAATTGTCAAGTTTAAAAGACCAGCCATTTAGAAGCTGTCAGTCATCCAAGCCCAGTGGGTTCAAAGCCAAGGGAGAATTGGAGCCCAAACATTGAGAACTTACACAGTGAAGATTTTTCTTCTTCTTTTTCCCTTGTATTTCTTACAATACTTGGACATAAGTAAATGCTCACATATTAACACGGATTGATCTTACAATATAATACCAGTACAATACAATATAATATAATATTATAATATTATGCAATACAATACAATACCAGTAAAAAGTGGGATGAAAAAATGTGAACAGAAAAAGAATGACATCCTGAACAATACATTTTCAATACAGCCCAAAAAATAAAAGCATATAAAACAAAGAATCATGGTATCATGTTTCAGTCTGAAATGTCATTCTTGACATGCTCATGGCCAAAGAATGACCAGATGCACCAAAGTAAGGCAAGCGAGAGCAAGATACAGGTTTACAGAGCATGAAACACACGCCACAGACGATGACCACAGACCCACTGCCGCACCAAAGGGTGAGCAAAAGGAAGGGGCCAAAAAGGCCTGGTTATGGTCTACAACTTGTTTTATAGTGCCTGGACTGGGAATTCCCTATGGCCCAGACATTACCATGGAACCACTTTGAGTGGACATTTGGGAGTTGCATAACCTGAGTCTTATTTTTTTTTTTTTATACTCCCAAGCTTCATGTTGTCCTTTTGGCTCCAAAATTTACTACTGTTCTCCTCCTTTTGATCTTCCTTTTGTTCCCCAGTGCCAATGACCTGAGTCTTAGATTACACATGTGGGTTGTTCTAGGTCAATCTCTGGGCGCTATGATACTTATGCTGTTTGGCCCATGGGCTAGAGAGTCACCCGCAATCTTTTGCAGCTGGTGCGCTAAACTGATTGGCAGATTTGTAGGGTATTCCCTCCTCCCCCAGGTATGGCAGTTGTTGGGGAGAGGATTAGGGTGGGGCAGCACCAAGATGGGAGCCTGGGGCCCACCCTTGTTCTTCTTCTCAGGTGGGCGATTGCACCAAGGTAACAGCACTCACTTTTGTCCCTAAGAGACCTGGAATCCCTCGCTATCTACCTAACATTTGTACTCCAAATCCACTGAAAAAGTTCTAGGATGTGTCATCCACTGGATGATAGTACATGTCAGAGTTTCTTTAGGTATCAGTCATGTGAAATTTTTGCCTATTTCCTAAAGGCTGACGTCCAGTTGTGATTTTTTTCTAGGAAAAAAAGGTAAACTAGGGAAGCTCTGGAGTCCTACAGAGACTCTTTCACACTCAGGACATAGCAGAGCCTGCCTCACCGTCTAGATAGATGAACTTCCCGGAGCCCACCAGGTGGTCCTCAATGGTCTCCTTTGCGTGCCTTTCTCCCAGACTGTCCAGGGCCTCCAGCAGGGTGTGCACCGAGGCTGCACGCCCCTTCTTGCTGACCCATCTCACCAGCATTCTGTACAAGGTGTCTTCTGGGCTGCAGGCGCTGGCACTGGCCACGTGGATGTCGTTGTCTGTCAGGCCCATCAGTCTCATGAGGGGATTCCAGGACTTACAGGGCACGACTTCTGGAAAGTAGTCGAAGAACAGCCTCAGAGCTAGGTGGAGAAAAGCCATGGAGACAGTCAGGGGAGTTGGAACTCAGGTCAGAAACGGCAGAGGATCCTGTATCAGGCCTAGAACCCAAGGGTAGAACCTACTGGGCTCTCCTGCAGGGGGACCTGCTGCTCCAGTGTCCTGACCTGCTCCCCATCCACAGAGAACCAGCCCACATTTCCAGGGCCCCATCTGCACCCAAGGTGCTGTGGGCGGGAGTCAAGGTCACCAGAGAATGCTGCCCTAGGGCAGGGCTGGTAGCCCCCCTTGGGAGGAGGGAGGGATGTTGTGGAGGCAGAAAACAATGTGGGGTACAAGCCAGAGGGAGGGACAAAGAATGGATGCAGCGTGGGCTCAGACAAGGGAAACTGCTTGGGCTGTGCTTGTCATGGGAGCAGGTCCCAGGGCAGCCCGGCCTGTATCTGTGGAAAGCTCAGGGCCTGTGCTAGGAGAGTCTTTGGTTCACACCTAGCTCAGCCTCACTCTCTAGCACTGGGGCAGGGCCAGATGGGGCAACAGACTCTGAGCAAGAAGTGAACCTTAAAATGGAGCAACCCCACCCAGCTCAAGCCTATGCAGGGATTAAGTAAGATGTGTGTGCAACATGCTAATACCACCATCCTTAGGGACAGAGGGTGGCCAGGAATATGAGGCTGTGTTTTATTTTTTTCTTTTTCTTGAGACGGGTCTCACTCTTGTTGCCTGAGCTAGAGTGCAGTGGTGGCATCATAGCTTACTGCAACCTCAAACTCCTGGGCTCAAGTGATCCTTGTGTCTCAGCCTCACAAGTAGCTGGGACTACAGGCATGCGCCACCACGCCCAGCTACAGGCTGTGTTTTCTAATAGCCTCATTTAAAGAAAATAAAAATGATATTATCCCCATAATATGCCGAAATAAAAAAATAAAATAAAAAAAAATAAAAGAGACATAAAAGATTTTTTAAAAAATAGAATAAAAGAGACTGTGTAACAGAAACTCTCAAAAAAATGATATTATTTTAATGTAAGGTACTGACTCAATATATATATAATATAATTTTAATATGCAATATCAGTGAGATATTTTCCTTTTTTTTCTTTTGCATTAAGTCTTTGAAATCCTGCCTGTGGTTTACACTACAGCTCAGCAAACTGGGTCTCAGTATCTCCTGGGGCCAGTGGGTGCTCTGCAGGACAGTGTAGTCTCTCAGGAGGCCACTGGGGAGCTGAATCAGGTCCTGAACAAGGGAGGAGGTAAGAGGTAGATGACAGTGTGGACAGAGTTGTTAAGGTTGTTGTCTCGTTAGGGTGCAGAGAGGGTAGGGTAGAGAGGAAGAGAAGAAGAGATGTGAGAGAGGCATTTAGGGTTCAATGACAATAGCATAGGATCCCTTGCTTCTGGCATTGAATGTTCTGGAAGAGCCCTATCAGCTATGGGGATGGCAGTTAGGACACTGTCCCTGTTCCCTGTCCTCCTTCTGCATCACCAGGAACAAAACACTTACTGTCAATGGGGTCAGCACCATTTGCTGGAACCAGCAGCTTCCTTCTCTGAGACCCTTCAGCTTCTATGTGGTCCTGTAACACACAGTGGGAAATGATCTTGGTCAGAGTCAGGAATCTTGGATTCCAGTGCAGCCCTCACAGCCAGCTGGCTATGAAACCTACAGCATGTGACTTTCAGAACAATGTTCTGCCATCAAGACAAGGAAGGAAACAATGTGGATTCTTGGAAGAGGCCAACACAGTGATCCTTATTTTAGATAGGACTGTACACTTAAAAAACCCCAAGGTTTAAATAGCAATAATTAAAAATGAATATGTCCAGATGAATGTTAAAACACGTCTCAGAAATAAATTAGAAAATGGAATTACAAAAGGTCCAAAACATTAATACAAAAACCAACTTTGACAAGGAATAGGAATTTTGTCTGAAAAAAAAAACCCAAAAATCTTGACTAAGTCATAATAAAACACTTGACCTCAAATACTACCTTCTTTGATAAGAAAACTATTGAATATTGAAAATCTCTTAATTCTTCCTAATACCTTTTATATTATTAAGGTAATATTAAAAAAAAAAGTCAAGGGATCTTTTGGAGGTGTTGGAGAAAATCTTACAAAATAATTCTATATTTTAGACAAGAAAGTCCAAAGGTAAGGAGCAACAACTGTTCAAGATGGGAAGGAATCAGTGAAATAACTCCAGAAATATGAAGAATCAAAGCAAAAGGACACCCCCAAAAGGGAACCAGCTCTCTAGCAATGGATACCAACCAAAATCAGAACACTAAAATGACAGATGAAGAATTTCGAACGTGGATTATAAGGAAAGTCAATAAAATGCAGGAATAAATAGAAACTCAACACAAAGAAACCACGAAAAGAATGCAGGAAATGAATAAAAATTAAAGAAATTGAAATATTAAAGAAAAATCAAATAGAACTTCTGGACAGAAAAATTTATTCAAGGAATTACAGAACACAGTGGAAAGCCTTAAGAACAGTTTAGACCAAGCTGAAGAAAGAATCTCAGAGACTGAAGATAACACCTTTTGATTAAACAAGTCAGTCGCAGAGATAGAGCAGAAAAATAAGAGAAAAGAGCAAGGCCTACAAAAAATATGGGATTATGTGAAGAGGGCTAACATAAGGAGAATCATAGGCATCCCTGATGGTGAAGAAGAAAATACATAAGAGTTGGATAATCTATTTGAGGGAATAATTGAGGAAAAATTTCCTGGCCTTGCTAGAAATCTAGATATCTAGGTACAAGAAGCTCAAAGGACTCCTGGGAGATTCATCACAAAGAAGAAAACACCATGACACATAGTCATCAGACTGGCCAAAATAAACACAAAAGAGGCTCTCCCATGAGCCATAAGGTGAAAACAGCAGGTAACCTACAAAGGAAAACCCATCAGACTAACTTTAGACTTCTCAAATGAGACTTTAAAAGCTAGAAGGGATGGGGGCCCCATTTTCAGTATTCTCAAACGGAATAATGCCCAGCTTAGATTTTTTTCCCTGCAAACCTAAGCTTCTCATATGAAGGAGAATTAGTTGCATATCTTCTTTTTATGTATATATACAGGCAGTCCCTGGGTTATGGATGAGATATGTTCTCTCTTTTTTTTTTTTTGAGACAGAGTCTCACACTGTTGCCCAGGCTAGAGTGCCATGACATCAGCCTAGCTCACAGCAACCTTACACTTCTGGGCTCAAGCAATACTATTGCATCAGCCTCCCAAGTAGCTGGGACTACAGGCATGCCCCATCTAATTTTTTTCTATATATTTTTAGTTGTCCAGCTAATTTCTTTCTATTTTTTTAGTAGTGACAGGGTCTCACTCTTGCTCAGGCTGGTCTCAAACTCCTGAGATCAAACAGATCCACCCACCTCAGCCTCCCAGAGTGCTAAGATTACAGGCGTGAGCCACCATGCCCATCCAGATGAGATATGTTCTTGAGAATGTCTTTAGGTTGGATTTGTATGTGATTTGGATCCCTGATGAACAGTACATGTATGGTAATAATGATAATAACAATACGATAGTGGCTCATATGTGGTAATAATAATACAGTGTAATACTATAGTAATAATATTAATAATACCCCTGTACTGTAATATTAATAAGTTACGGAAACTATTGTGCTTTTTTAATTCCTAGGCTAATACGAATTTTACTCTTATTTTGAGCTTCTAACCAAATCAATAATAACCTTTCCACTTCAATAATTAATCCACTACGCTGCTTAGTAATAATTGATGCTTTCATAGTAGCACTATCTTTCTCATGTTCCCTTATTCTCACTTTATCTTTTATAATTGTTCCAATAGTCAAGCAACTAAAGCCTGATGCTTTCCCAATGAAAGAGGGTGTCCAGCCTTTCTCTAAGTGCTTGATTATTTCTGCTTTCATTTCCATTGTAATCACCTTTCTTTTTACTTCAGGCTCACCTGGACTTGCGGTGGACTTTCACTTTGGAGGCATGGTCATGAGGGTAAACACAGACTCAAAAAATCAAATTAAAAAGTTAAGATGAAAGAGATGGTATGTGCCAGCAACCACATAAACAATGAGACTAGCTGGGCGCGGTGGCTCACGCCTGTAACTTTAACACTCTGTGAGGCTGAGGTGGGTTGATCGTTTGAGCTCAGGGGTTCGAGACCACCCTGAGCAAGAGCGAGATCCTGTCTCTACTAAAAAATAGAAAGAAATTAGCTGGACAACTAAAAATATATAGACAAAATTAGCCGGGCATGGTGGCGCATGCCTGTAGTCCCAGCTACTCAGGAGTCTGAGGCAGGAGGATTGCTTGAGTCTAGGAGTTTGAGGTTGCTGTGAGCTAGGCTGACGCCATGGCACTCTGGCTGGGGCAATAGGCCGAGACTCTGTCTCAAAAAAAAAAAAAGAAAAAGAAAAAAGAAACCTTGACCAGAAGACTCACTGATATCCTCAAAAGACACAAGTACACTGTTACCACACACACAAAAAAAACCAATGAGACTAGCTGCTTTTGTAAAGATGCTGCACCAACAAACTGTTTGTGCCATGTGGGTTTGTTTATATGTGTGGAAGAAACGAGTTCCTGAATTATTAATCTAATTATTTAATTATAAATTATCCTTATGGGGAGCCTTGGGGGCCCATCTGTAAGTATGGACTTCTGTAAGTCAGGCTATCTGTACCCCGGGGACTGTTGTGTATATATATTTTCTTTTCTGTGGACTTGCATAGAAAAATAATACTTTCTCTTTATTTAAAAAGAACATGGTATAGATGCAAGGAAGGAACAGAAAGAAACCACCTGGGTGGAAGAGATCATTGTCCATATACACATTTGACATGTGGCAAAGGAGGCTCCAAAGGCAGAGAGAAATAGAAGAGTCAGTTGCTCAGTGGGCATGGGGAGGAGACAGAAACTCAGAACAATTCGTCACTGCATATTGGATGAAAAAACAAATTCCATTTATATTAATCTGTGGTATTAATAAAAAGTAAATCACTAAAAAAATAAAACTGTAAGAAACTAGATAATCTCATGTTGGACAGAAACAATTCCAAAGCTTAAGAAAAATGAAAAATTAAAAGTATATACTGATTTAGGCCGGGCGCGGTGGCTCACGCCTGTAATCCTAGCACTTTGGGAGGCCAAGGTGGGAGGATTACATGAACTGGGGAGTTTGAGATCAGCTTGAGAAAGAGTGAATCTCTATAAAAAAGAGAAAAATTAGCCAGGCATAGTGGCTAATAGTCTGTAGTCCAAGCTACTCAGCAGGCGGAGGCAGGAGGATTGCTTGAGCCCAGGAGTTTGAGGTTGCAGTGAGCTATCAACCACTGCACACTAGTCTGGGTGACAGAGCAAGACCATGCCCCAGAGGAAAAAAAAAAAAAAAGTCAAAGAAAAAAAGAAATAAAATAAAACGCACTTCTACACATTGACTCAGAAATTCTACTTCTTCTTGGAAGCCTCTCTATAAACAGGATCAGAAATCTGGAAAAAGATTTATTTTCAAATATGTTCAATGTAATAATACTTTTAGAGTAAATTTAACACTCCTGCCGTTACAAGCTAGGGCTCCCTAAGGTCTGTTAGGAGCAAATGGCAGAGATCACGCAGCCCTTATTCAGTAATCAACAACCCCCCGGCACCCACTCTGTGCCTGCGTGGCACTAGGCTCTGGGGACACAGCCAGAACAGGACAGGGACTTAGAAGAAGGTCCCACAGAGTGGGGCGGTCACCACTCGGGCGTGGCTGCTCCAGCTCGTGCAGCTCCAGCCCCTGCAGTCCCTCTGTTAGGTAGATAGTTAGGATCTCCAGCTCTTCTCAGACAGGGGCTCCCTGCTTTGGTGCTGTCTTGAGCAACGGCTCCACCTGGGAAGAAGGATAAGGGAGGGGCACTTCATTTTTGTGTTGCCCTCCCTTAATCCTATCCTGAGCAACGGCTCTTGCTGGGGAAGGAGGGAATGCTTTATCAATCTAGGAAGTCCCCAGCCTGGGCATGATAGGATTCAGAAAGTGACCTAGAGTAACCTACGGGTAATCAATATGCCATTAGCTTGAAACTTCATTGCGGTCCACGCCTCCCAGGTGGGCTTTCTTAGCAGGAGCTTGTCTATGCAGATGGAATTTTGAGAATACCCGTTTATTGGTTATTTGGTAACATCCTTCACCTCCCAAGAGCCCACCTCTAGGCTTGGCTAATAAAAGGAAAAGATACAAAGAGGTCAGGAAGAAATGAGTGGGTCAGTCAGTGAGGAAGTGAGTGAGTTGGTCTGTCTCTCTATGGACCCATTTTATTCTACAATAAGCAGCTGCTCTTGTGAAACTGCTCCCTGCCTGAGGTTACTCTCTCATACTGGACTTCTGGTGATTTTTCCAAGAAAGGAGTCAGAGGACTGGGATGATAGTCTTGGACTTGACACTTTGATGTGTCTGGTCGTTCTTTGGCCAAGAGCACACCGAGAACAAAGGGCAGACTCCCACCCTGACATCCTGGGTGGTGCCAAAACCCAGGATTCTGATACCTCCATCCCCTGCAGTCCCTCTGTCCCCTACAGTCCCTCCACTCCCTCAAGCTCCGCTTTCCCCTGGGCCAGGAGAGCCGAGGACCCACCCTCGTCCTCTGTCTACAAAGTCCTGGGACAGCAGTAAGACTAGGATGCGGCACGGCCGACCTCACTCACCGGATGCTCTGCCTCCCTTGGGGACAGTATGGTGACACCTCTGAGATCTGCTGGCTCCGGGCTTTCCATTTTCTGCTCAAAGACTGGGGTGGACTGATGAGAGTAAAGAGGTAAAGAGCAGACACGGGGCTCCACACCCAGGGCTCCCTTCAGGTCCCCCAGGGCACTGCTGCTCCTAACATCCCCACCCCTTCCAGTGGGGTCACCCTGGTGGGCAGAAGCTGAGCACATCCAACATTTGCTGCTGGCACCACACCCCTCGTGCTGTGTTAAGGCGGGTCACCCCCATTGCCAAGGTGAAGAGCTATGGGCTGGGGGTGTCAGCCAGGTGGCAGGAAGGACAGGGCTACAGCATAGCCTGCAGGGTGCTCTAAGTAGCCATGTGCCCTGCACGGTCAGCCAGAACCCCCAGGCCACAGCAGAGAGCCAGGACAGCCTTACAGGACAACGAGGATGCGACCACCCAGGGCTCTGTGTGGGCAGGAAGCAGTTCCTGAGCACCCGGTACTCCCAGGTCCTGGAGAAAATAACTCACTCTGCCCACGAACTTGGGGTCCTGGTCACAACCTGGAAGAGAAGGGAGTCCCCTTAGCAAGCAGGGAGGGTCCCATGCAACAGCCCCCTCCCTGAGGACAGTGCCTGGCCAGGCGTGAGCTGGGGGTTGAGACACTGGACAGGCAGCCTGGGCCTGGGGACAGAGATGGGGCCTTTCCAACTCTGGGGCACCCTCAGGAGGGAGGAGGTAAAGGAAACAGAGTTAATACAAACACATGTAAAATCTGTTTGGTTCTAAAGCCGTGGAAACCCCCTGAGAACTTCCGGTGCTGGCCCTGAGCCCCCGTGGAGCCGACTCCCTCTCTGCCCTGGCTGGGCCCTGAACACGGGGGCAGGGGAGCTGGCCCTGCCCTGCCGACTTGGGAGGTGAGGGCACCGCTGGCCCCGAGAGAGGGACTGATGAGATCCTGGTCCTGGGGGTGCAGGTGAGGGGGAGATGGAGTGACCACCACAGGGGTTTGGGAAACAGGAAGAGGGTGTTTCCGCCTATGGAGCAGAGTACGGGGAGGGCCCCTCCCTCAGCCAACACCTACCTGAGCAGTTTCTCTTCCTGCAAAGTGTCACCACCAAGACCACCAGCAGCAAGACAGCCACAGCCCCGAATACGATCTGCATCCTGAGGAGCCCATGGCCTGAAGACGGGAGGGGAGAAGTGGAATTCCTGGCCTAGGTCGCTGGCTCTCCAGGAGCTGGGGCTTTGCCAGATGCCTTAGTACCTGATCCTCTGTGGACGCACACAAGGTCACTCCAGGGGGTGCAAGGCCTGTCCTCGACCATCCCATCAGGGCACCTGGGTACACACAGGGAGGAGAGGTGGGATTCCATGAGGGAAGACCGGCCAGATGGGACAAAAGAGGAGCCAACCCCCCCTGCCCCACCCACTGCCACTGAGCAGGTGACAGAGGAAATATGGGCTCCTCATGTTGCTGGGGGCCCTGCTGTCCCTTCTGAGTCTGGGGTGGGATCTGAGCATATGAACTTCAGCCCCTCGGGCTCCCTGCTCGGGGGTCAGGGCTGTGGCCTCCAGCAACCTTCTCTGCTGGGAACGTGTGGCGCTTCTCTGCTCTGCAGGGGAGGCCGGGAGTTAGCAGGAACCTCGCTCCAAGGGAGGTCAGAAGACCTCGTGGTCACAAGCTGAGCCACGTCCTCCAACTCTTGCTACCACTGAGCTCCCGTCCCCACCTGTCTGCCCATCCCCCCTTGTCACATGAACACAGGGGGTCAGAGAAATCATCGCTATCAGCCTTTAGGACCCCAAATAGGGAAAAGGCAGGTTTTGAGGGCCAGGGTGAGGACAGCTGCATTGGCTCAGGTCCTCATGGGAATCTAGAAGGAGCTACACCCGTGGGTTTATTATGACCTCTGTGGCCACGGGCTCATTTGTCATGGTCCCTGCTTGGATAAGAAAATTATTAAAAATTGCATTTTAGCACTCAAATTTGTTCAAGGATAATTATTAATACATCTCAGGGTGGATTTTTCACAGTTTTGATTTCAAAATACAATATTTGATGGGCCACTAAGAATATCATGGGCCCTAAGTCGTGGCCTCCTGTGCCCAGAGGGACACGCACTGGGGAGGTGTGGGAAGGGGCTGCTGCAGGGATCAGGGTGGGGACAGGCAGATGGCCCAGGAGGGGTCACCACAGGCTCAGGATACCCCACAGGGTCAGGGATGCCCCATGGGGTGGAGGCCCCATGGGACCCAGGGGAAAGGAGGGGGTACAAGGAAAATTGCGTCTTCTGGGCTCCTTTGAGCTGCAGGGCCCCCTGCCTCTCATGTCTCACCTAGCACGGCATTTCTGGCAGAACTCAGGGGAATCTTCTACTCGGAACGTGCCTGGTTTGCACTGACACTCTCTGTTTCTGGTCGTGGTGCAGTTACTTCTTGGCTCTTCATCTGGAGACAAAAGGAAAAGTCTTTGGGGATATGTTTCCTTGGCATGTCCCTCAACCCTTCCTCACTACTCCGACTCCCTCCCATTCAGCTCAACTCAGGTCATCAAGGAGTTCTGAAGGCCAGTTTCTGCATCAACCCACTCGGGGTACACAGAGGACAGCCACCCTTCAGCTGTCACTAATAGAGTCGTACAACAAGGACCAACATTCATTATCTATTATACCAGATTGGGAAAAAAATCATTTAGATAACATGGTAAGTAGCAACGGAGGCACAGGGTGAACAAGTAAGACCCTGGCAGAAGACCCCATGGGTGACTTCCCCAAAGCCTGGCCCTGCTGGCGAGGAGGGAGGGGCCTGAGGACATGGGCTGAGAGAGGCACCTGCCAGGAGCACAGAGCCGGGGGTCGAGAGGGAGAGCCTGGGCCAGGCCAGACCCATGTCACAGCTGAAACCCAGCCCTTTCCCCTTGGCCACGCCTTCTCCATGCTGTCAGGATACTCCCTGCCCTCGCAACTGGTTTTTAAAAAGATTTCCTTACCAGGTGGCATGCATTATAAAAACAATTTATGTTTTATTTATTTAATGACTCAAAGATATAATCATAGAATAATAGGGTTTGCTGAAGACCAAGTTGGACTGGAGCCCAGGTCTCCTGATTCCATTTATGCTACCGCTTTATGCCATGACCCTGCATTCCATCCTCGGGCACAGGGTCCACATATTCTTTTTTTTTTTGAGACAGAGTCTCGCTTTGTTGCCCAGGCTAGAGTGAGTGCCGTGGCGTCAGCCTAGCTCACAGCAACCTCAAACTCCTGGGCTCCAGTGATCCTTCTGCCTCAGCCTCCCGGGTAGCTGGGACTACAGGCATGCACCACCATGCCCGGCTAATTTTTTATATATATATCAGTTGACCAATTAATTTCTTTCTATTTATAGTAGAGACGGGGTCTCACTCTTGCTCAGGCTGGTTTTGAACTCCTGACCTTGAGCAATCCGCCCGCCTCGGCCTCCCAAGAGCTAGGATCACAGGCGTGAGCCACAGCGCCCGGCCAGGGTCCACATATTCTGTACCTGCATTACAAACTGTACAGGGTAAGCAGGAAGAGAGTGCATTCCAGTGAGTAGTGTAGTCTACTCCACAGCTGCAGAGGTGACAATCTCTACTATCTTCTGATATATGGGTTCCTGGGAGGGGAGAGAAAAAGCTGATGAATGAATCTTCACAGGATTCTCAGAGACTGGGGAACTCTTTTTTCAGCCATTAGTGGAATCCAAACAGAGAAATCCACTGTACCTGGCTTGGTCAGTTCATCAATTCTGAATTTGTTACATACCTTAGACCAGCACTACTGACAGAAATATAATACAAGCCACAAATTAAATTTGAATTCACACTTACCACATTAAAAAAGTGAAAGAGGTAAATTAATTTTAATAATGCATTTTTACTTAATATACCCAAAATAATATCACTTAAATGTATAATCAATGTAAAACATGGAGATATAATATTTTACATTTTCATAGTATGTTTTCAAAGCATAGTACGTATTTCTCACTCAAAGCATATCTCAATGTGAGGTAGCATATTTCAAATGATGAACAGTCCCATGGACCTACTGACTACTTCTTCTGGACAGCATCATCCTAGACCCTAGAAACTCACACAAGAAAGTCCTAATACCTGTCCTCAATGAGCTCCCAGTTAGTGGAAGATATAAACAGGCGTAGAAGTAATATGATAATGGAAAAAGCCTTCAAAATTACAGCTCATGTCATCAGCCATGGAAAGAATATGGAAGGAAAAATGGATCCTACCTCTAGAGAGTCAAAGAATGACCCAAAGAAATGGAAGCCAGAGCCACCCTGGATGCGAGAGGCATTTTGAAATTGGAAAGTGTGAGTCCCCCAACTTTGTTTTTCTTTTATAAGATTGTTTTGGTTGATCTAGTTCCTTTCATTAATAAATTTCCTCTGACTTTGAGGATGGGCTCTTCCAGTTTTGAAATAACACTATTGGGATATTGATAAGCATTGCATCTGTGTATCACTTTGTTTACTTTGTCATCTTCACACTATTAAGTCTTCTAATCCATAAACACAGAATGTCTTCCTGTTTATTTAGTTTTTTTTTCATTTCTTTCAGCAATGTTTTTTAGTTTTCAGTGTAAAAGTTTTTCAGTAGCAAAGAACAATCCAAAAATGAAATTAAGAAAACAATTTCATTCACAGTGGCTCAAAAAGAATAAAATATTTAGGAATAAATTTAACAAGGAGGCACAAGACTTTTGAAAAAAGACTTGTCTACACATCTAAGAAAACAGTCTTTAAGCAGGCTAAATTCAAAGAGAACCAGACCAAGACACATTATAGTCAAATGGATAAAAGCCAAACACAAACAGAAAATCTTGAAAGCAGCAAGTACTCAGTATGTACTAGAGAACCTCAACTGATTTCTCATCAGAAACTATACTGGCCCTGACACCGTGAATAATGTATTTAAAGTGTTGAAAAAGAAACCCTTCAACCAATAATTCTATATCCAGCAAAACTATCCTTCGAGAATGAGGGAGAAATTAAGACATTCCCTGATAGACAAAAACCAATGGAGTACATTACTAGCAGACTTGCCCTGTGAAATGTTAAAGGGAGTCCTTCAGGCTGAAATGAAATGACATTATGTAGTAGCTCAAAGCCATATGAAGAAATAAAGGACACTGGAAAAGGTAACATCATAGGTAAATATAAATGCCAGTATGCCATAGTCTACTTGGGCTGCTATAAAAAAAATAACAACAGGCTGAGTGGCTCCAACAATAGACATTTATTTCTCAAAGTTCTAGAGGCAGCCACTATCTTGCTGTGTGCTCACATGAACTTTTCTTTTTGCACACATGGCGGGGGGAGAGAGAGGGAGGGGCCGTGCACGCAAGTTGTCTGGTATCTCTTATTTATTTATTTGGTATCTCTTCTTAAAAGGGCACAAACCATCATGAGGGCTCTACCTTCATGGCCTCATCTAAACCTAATTACTTCCCAATGACACCATCTCCATATACGATCACATTGGGTGGAAAGGCTTCAACATACGAATTTTGGGAGACAAGATTCAGTCCACAGCACATTATTATAGTACCTTTGGTTTGTAAATGCTGTTTTTTCTTTACCTACATGGTTTTTCTTTTTTTTTTTTTTAACTCTCATACCTGAGCCAGTTTATAGATCTTTTTTTTACCTATATGGTTTAAAAAGCAAATGCATAAAACAACATAAAACAATGCATATAAATCTATGTTGATGAGCACGCGATGTACAAGGATGTGTCTATGAAAACAACAATACAAAGAGGAGAATTGTTTCTTTTATAGCCAGGATTCACAGGTCTAGGAATCAAGGGGTGCAAAAGGGAGTGGCACCCCTCACTGTTATCGTCAGTAGCCTTCTAGCAAAATGTTTGCTTCCTGTTCCTGCAACTTTATGCTTTGCTGGCCTCAAGGGCTTAGTTCCCGAGTTTCATCAGGAGACACAACAATGATTTCATCTATTATATCAATGACTTGGAGTTAGGACTCCTACCTGGCCACTATGGGTTCCTCATGTTTCTGAATCAACAGGCAAAAAGTTACTTACTGGGGCAATTGATCCTGACTACCAAGGGAGACATCAGACTGCTATTCCATAGTGGAGATAAGATGAGTATGCTGTAATACAGGAGATTCCTTAGGACAGCAGTCCCCAACCTTTTTGGCACCAAGGACCGCTTTTATGGAAAACAATTTTTCCACGGACTGGGGTAGGGGTATGGGGTTTGGGATTATTTTGCAGCTGCTCCCCAGCACTAGCATCACCGCCTCAGCTCTACCTCAGATCATCAGGCACTAGATTCTCATAAGGAGCTTGCAACTTAGGTCCCTCACATGCGCAGTGTACAGTAGGGTTCGAGCTCCTATGAGAACCTAATGCCGCTGTTGATCTGACAGGAGGCGGAGCTTAGGCGGTGCTGCGAGTGACAGGGAGTGGCTGCAAATACAGATGAAGCTTTGCTCTCAGCTTGGGTCCTAAAAGGCCAGCACTGGTCTGAGGCCTGGGGGCTGGGGACCGCAGCCTTGGGGCATCTCTGAGTGTCACCATGCCCTGTGATTAAAGCCAATGGAAATCTACAGCAACCCTGGGTCACCCTATCAGACAGAGAGCCACAACCAGCTGAGGTGCTTGGTGAGGACAAAAGGAATACAGAATGGGTAGTGAAAGAAGGTAGTTAAAAATACCAGCCAATATCAGCTATAACTGTTAATACATGACCAGTTACTAAAACAAAGACTATAATTGTTATTTCTTCCTGATTTTGTTATGCTTATGTTTTTGTATATAGATATGTTAAGCAAATATCTGTTTTCTTCCCTCTCTTATCCCTTTATACAACATAGAATGCATTGACATTACATTATAGTATTAAGTGTTGTTAATTTACATCATAGTATTTAAGTTACGGGATAGAAAGGAAAAGAGTAAACAACATTCAAAGACTTTGCATTCTCTTCTGGAGAAAGGATTAGTGTTTTTGGTTGTATACAGAATAGTTGTATCATGGTAGGCAGAAGGGTGATCTTGTTATTGCCTTTATTTGGATATTAAGTATAGTCTAACTGAAGTTCCAGACCAGCCTGAGCAAGGGCAAGACTCAGTCTGTACAAAAAATAGAAAAATTAGCTTGGTGTGGTGGCACGTGTCTGTAGTCCCAGTTACTCAGGAGGCTGAGGCAGGAGGATCACTTAAGCCTAGGAGTTGGAGGCTGCAGTGAGCTATGATAACAACACTGCACTCTATCAGGGGCAACAGAGACTCTGTCCCCCCCAAAATAAGGAGTGAAGAAAATCTAACAGAAATAACATACAAATGGTATCTGCCTCATGAACAGATTCTCAACCTCATTCACCCTAACAGAAACAGAAATTAGAGGAGATTCTGTGTCTGGATCCTTGGCATGTGGTGCCCACTCTTGGGGGAGGAAGCTTCTCCTTGTTCCGGGACACAAGTTCCATGGACAGTTCCTTCCCAGCCCCTTTGCTGACCTGTCCCCTGGACTGGCGCCTCCATGTTCCGGTCCTTGTGCCCCTTCTCTTCAGTATCTATAGTTTCCTTCTAGAGGATCCCCACAAGACTGAGGCTTCAAGAATCACCTATGTGCTGGGATCCCCAAATGTGTACTGCTGGCCTGCCACACACTGTCTCCTCGGAGGCTCGATTCACCCCGAGCAGTTGGGTTTGGTGCCTCACTCGTCCTCACCGCCTGCATTACAATCCAGCCTCAAATGCCGACAGTTCACCCCAAATACATCCAGAGTCCTTCCTACTCCTTCAGCTCCCTTGTCTCAAGCAGCAATAGGCACGTTGACAGTTCAATGTGTGCGTCTGCTCTGGCCTGGGCTCTTTCTTCTCCAGGATCTGACCTGTGACAAGCCCTGCTATACAAGGAGGGTTTGAAATCCTGGAAGGGAGGGGCAGCCTTTCCTGTGGTGCCCAGTAATGAAATGCAAACTTGTAAATGGTCTGTAGAAATCACAGGATGCTACTCTTGCCAGCTCCAGAAGCCCTGGTGCAGTGGATGATCTATTTCCACCTCACACGTGTGCAGAAAGAAGGAAACAATTGTGAGACAAATACGACAGTCAAGCAGCCCTGACAGGCACGGCTGCCTCCCCCAGGGCTCAGCTGACCCTATGGAGCTGAGATGGCCACTATGTAGCATGCCCAGGGGAGCACTCCCATCCCCCACCCAGACAAGGCCCTCCACCTGCGTCCTCGCTTGCCTCCTTCAATCCAGGAGTAAGGACTAAAAGTACAAATTGGATCCTGACAGCCCTCTACTGAAAACTTCCCATCAAAGTTAATCACTTGCAAAATAAAACCCACGTTCCTTCACGTGCAACCTGCCCCTTCTTGTCCCCTGACCTCTCTGCGCTCCACTCACCCCAGCGGCCTCCTCCCAGCCCCTGCCTCCTGTTGCACTCGATGCTATGGGGGCACTCTCAGAAGCTCTCTTCCAGGCTTTTTGCACTGCTGGTCTCTCCCACTTTGGGATGCCAGCCCACTGTCACCATCCCCAGGAGGACTCACAAGCCCGTCTCTGCCCTACTCAATGATCCCTTAAGGTTCCTGCCAGCCTCTCTGAACACATTCATTCCATCCCAGCAGGAAGGCTCCAGGAGCACAGGGCCCCTGCCATCCACTTGCACAGTGCCTGACTCACAGAAGGCATCCAATAAATCCCTGTGGAATAAAGAACCAGGAGTTCAGGAAGCAGAAACCTGGAAGCTCATGGCGACAGAAGAGGAGAAGTGAGAATTGGAAAATGTACCTGGTGGACACAAACCCTCCTCAGGGTTGTGCCTCCATCGCTGGGGGGCAGGTATCTGCTGAGGAACCCTGTTCTGCTTGGTGGTGGCAGAGTCAGCCGGGACCTGTGGGGTCAAAGCAGGGATGGACATAAGTGGGTTCCAGACTCTCACCCCTCCCAGAAGAATACAGAAACCATATGTGATATTCTCAACTAGAGATAGCATCCATTAATATTTTGTCTCATGTAGTTCCACTATTTGACCATATATATGAATAGTCTCCCTCTCTCAGACATATACACACAGACACACACATTTTTACACATGAGGGTTACACTATGTGCAAATTTTTTAAAAATTGGGATCTAGGATCAAATATTAAATAATGAACTTCTAATTTTAAAAAAGGTGCCTGACATACAAACCAATGGAATAATATAGAGGAGCCCAGAAATGAATGCTCACATATAGTCATATATTGCTTAATGACAGGAATGTGCTATGAGAAATGAGTCGTTAGGCAATTTTGTCTTTGTGCTAACATCATAGAGCACACTTACACAACCCTAGAAGGTATAGCCTACTACACGCCTAGGCAATATGGTATAGCCTGTTTCTCTTAGGCTACAAATTGCAGCACGTTACTGTCCTGAATACTGTAGGCAATGACATTATGACACAATGGTAAGCATATGGGTATCTAAACATATATAGACATAGAAAAGGTACAGTAAAATTATGGCATTATAATCATATAAGGCCACCGTTATGTATGTGGTCCACCATTGACCAAAACATGTTGTTATGTGGTACATGACTGTATATGGTCGAATGATTTCTGACAAAGGTGCAAAGGCCATTTAATAGGGAAAGGACAATCCTTTCAAAAAATCATTTTGGGAAATCTGGATATCGACTCATAAGAAAACAATAAGCTTGTACCCTTACCTTACATATATATAAAAATTAACTCAAAATGGATCAAAAAATCTAACATAACAGTGAAAAATATAAAACTTTTAGAAGAAAACATAGAAGCAATTCTTCATGACCTTGGATTTGGCAATGATTTCTTGAATATGACATTAAAAACATAGGTAACAGGCCAGGCACGGTGGCTCATGCCTGTAATCCTAGCACTCTGGGAGGCCGAGGACAGCGGATCACTCGAGGTCAGGAGTTCCAAACCAGCCTGAGCAAGAGCGAGACCCCGTCTCTACTATAATGGAAAGAAATTAATTGGCCAACTAAAAATATATACAAAAAATTAGCCGGGCATGGTGGCGCATGCCTGTAGTCCCAGCTACTTGGGAGGCCGAGGCAATAGTATTGCTTGAGCCCAGGAGTTTGAGGTTGCTGTGAGCCAGGCTGACGCCACGGCACTCACTCTAGCCTGGGCAACAAAGCGAGACTCTGTCTCAAAAAAAAAAACATAAGTAACATAAGAAAAAAATAGATAAATTGGACTATGTAAAAATTTAAAAATTCTGTGCATCAAATGACAATCAACAGAGTGAGAGGGCAACCTATAGAATGGGAAAAACATTTGCAGGTTATATAATTGATAAGGGTTTAATATCTAGAATATATAAAGAACTTCATATTTCATCAATCACAACAACAAAAAGAACAAAAAGCAAACAACCTGGTTAAAAAATGAGGAAAGGACTTGAATAGACAAGCTTCCAAATGACCAGTGAGTCAATGAAGAAAATTAAATGGGAAATTTTTAAATATCTTAAGAAAATCAAAATGGAAACACAACATACCAAAACTTACAGGATACAACAAAAGCAGTTTCAAGAGAAAACTGCAATAAATGCCTATATCAAAAAAAAGAATGAAGATCTCAAATAAACTACTTAATGTTATGCCTCAAGGATATAAAAAAGAAGACAAACTAAGCCCAAAGTTAGCAGAAGGAAAAAAACAATAAAGATCAGGACAAAAATAAATAAAATAGAGACTTGAAAAAAAACAATACAAAAGATCAAATAAACTACAAGTTGGTTTTTTTAAAAAACATCAAAATACTTCCTCCTCTACGCTTTATAAACTGTTCTATAAGTGTTGTAAGGCAAGCTTCTTACCACTTGGTTTAAGTGTCCCAGATTGCTATCTGTACTTTCTCTTATTATGTGATAATGTACTTTTTGATTTGATTTCATTTTTGACAGTCTTAATTTTTTTTGTGAAATCTTTCAGATATTCTACAAATAAGATCATATTATTTGGAAACAGAGATTATTTTACTTCTTCCTTTACAATTCAGATGCCTTTATTTCTTTTTCTTGCCTAATTGATTTGGCTAGAACTTCTCGTATCATGTTGAGTGGAAGTGGCATAAGTGGGTATCTTTATCTTGTTCTTGATCTTAGAAGAAAAGCTTTCATTCTTTCACCATTGAGTATGATGTTAGCTGTGGGGTTTTCTAATATGGCTTTTACTTACTATGTTGTAGTAGTTTCCTTCTATTCCTAGTTTGTTGCATATTTTAATCATGAAAGGGCTTTAAATGTCATCAAATGCTTTTCCTGCATTATTTCAGATGATCATGCATGTTTCCCCCCTTTATTCTATTAATGTGGTGTATTACTTACATTGCTCGATTTTCATTTGTTGAATCATCCCTGCATTCCAGAAATAAATCACACTTGCCCATGGTGTTTGATTCATTCAATGTACTGTTGAATTCTCTGTGTTAGGATTTTGTTGAGAATTTTTGCATCAGTTGGGGGTATTAATCTGTAGCTTTTTTTTCTTGTAGCGTCTTTGGGTTTGGTATCAGAGCAATGTTGGCCTCACAGAAAGAGTTAAGAAAGGTTCCCTCCTCTTCAATTTTGTGAAGGAATTTGATAAGTATTGGTATTAGGTCTTCTTTAAAAGTTTGTTAGATCAGTTCATAAGCAGTAATAAAGTGAAAAAAAGAAAAAAAAAAAATAAAAGTTTGTTAGAATTCACTAGCAAAGCTATCAGGTTCAGGGATATTTTTTTTGGTCTGGAGATTTGTGATTACTGATTCTACCTTCTTAGCAGTTCTGGGCCTATTTAGATTTTCTATTTCTTTGAGATTCAGTATTGGTAGGTTTTGTGTTTCTAGGAATTTGTCCATTTCATTCAGGTTATCCAATTCCAATTTACTGGCATGCAGTTGCTCATAGTATTATCTTGGGCTCCCTTTTATTTTTGTAGAGTCAGTGGGAATGTCCCTTCTTTCATTTCCCATTTCAATAATTAGAGTTTTCCTTTTTTTTTCATAACCAATCTAGTTGAAGGTCTATCAATTTACTTGTTTTTGAAGAAGCAATGTTGGTTTTTGTTCATTTTCTATATTATTTTTCTATTCTCCATTTTATTTATCTCTGTTTTAATAATTATTTCCTTTATAATGCTAACTCTGGGTTTAGTTCACTCTTCTCTTTCTAGCTCCTAAAGTTGTAAAGTTAGCTTGTTTATTTGAGATCTTTCTTATTTTGTAATGAAAACATTTCTGGCTATAAATTTTATAAGTGGAATCAGATAGTATTGGTACTTTTCTATGTGGTTTCCATCACTCGACACAGCTATTTTGAAATTCACTCATTATCACATGCATCAATATTTCATTCCTTTTAATTACTAGTTGTATTGTGGAATTAGTATTATAACATTAATGTAAAATGTAAGAGACTTGGAATAATGTATGTCCAATCATCACCAACCCACATTCTTTTTCTATAATTGTCTTAGGCATGTACATATGTTACAAACCCACAAACACTGTTATGGTATTTGATAATGTATATTTTCAACAAATAAAGAGAAAATAGTTCTTTAACTGTGCCTTCATATTTTCTAATGATATTCCTCCCTTCCTTAAGATTTATATTTCCATTTTGTGTCATCTCTATTCAGACTGAAATCGTCATTTAGCCTTTTGTGTCCTGCAGGTCTGCTGCCAATGACATACTCATACTGTCATTCAGATTCCTAATTCATTTTTCTTTCTTTTTTTTTTTGGAGACAGAGTCTCACTGTGTTCCCCCAGCTAGAGTGCCGTGGGGTCAGCCTAGCTCACAACAACCTCAAACTCCTGGGCTCAAGGGATCCTCCTGCCTCAGCCTCCCCCACAGCTGGGATACAGGTGCTCACCACTACACCCAACTAATTTTTATATTTTTTGTAGATATGGGGTCTCCAACTCCTGAGCTCAAGCAGTCCTCCCTCCTTGGCCTCCCAGAGTGCCAGGATTTCAGGCGTGAGCCACTGTGCCTGGCCCGGATTCCTAATTCTTAAAGCCATTTTATGCCCATTTACTCTTTCTTTTTTGTTAATGACCTCAGACAACTCTCAGATTAGGAAAACTAGAATCCACCCTGAGTCTCTTTTCCTCTTCTTACCAAATCCATCATATCACCTGTCTGTTTTACCATAACCATTGCCCTCAGATCCATATTGGCTGCCACTCCCCCCTTCAGGATGATTCCACGTGACCACTCAACCTAACCACCAAAGCTGCAGTGAGCTATGATGATGCCACCACACTCTAGCCCAGGCAAGAGTGATAGCTTGTCTCAAAACCAAAACAAAAACAGCTACAAAATTAACCCAAGCAATCTCTTCTTTCTTCTCTAGATCACCCATGCACTTAGAAGCTGCCCTGGATAATCAAAGTTACTACACAGTCTGGTTGTTGTGAGAATTAAGTGTGTTAATATGTATATAAAGTGCTGAGAACAGAGCACTTTAAGTGCACGTGCTGATTAGCACAATCACAGCTCTCGATGCTATTGTAATCACGCCACATTCTCCAGACCAACAATAACACAGCCGGGGCCTTGCAAGTGCACAGGCAGAGTCACATATGGAGGAAAGACATCCCCACAGGCCTCACAGTTGCTCTGGAAGTGGGGAGAGTCGGGGAAGAGCAGGGGAGGGGAGGGTGGTGGCATCTTGTGCTTCCTGAAAATTATTTAGGTCTCCCATGTTACCTCCTCCACCAGACTGCAGGCCCTCAGGAAGCAAAATCCACACAGGGCTCTTTTGTCCTCCCCCAACCCCAGACACAGACTTTCCCAGAGCAAAGGGCTCATCGCCTACTTCATGGGTGGGTAACTGCCCCCCAAGACACATGAGGTGAGCCTAGTGGTGGCCTCAGCTCACCACCGAAGAACAGGCTCCAGGCTGCAGCACAGGGAGGGGACGCAGACAGGAGCTCCCAGAGGCTGAGTGCAGGGCAGAGACCCTGAGAAGCAGCCGCATAGAGGACTCTGGAGCCCTGCAGAGGGCACGCCCAGGGTCTGCAGAGACCTTATGTCCGAGAGGAAGCCGCCAGGTGAGGGGAGACTATCAGACATCAGCGGGTGGGCCATGATCCAGGCCCACCCAGGGCTGGGAATTGCTCATGTTCCTGATCCCATGGTGGGCACACCTCATGATGGGGGTGCTGGGACAGTTACCATCAGAAGGGACCCGCTGTACCCTTAGTACTGTACTAAATTAGTCCCTGAATGAGGCCGCTGAAGATAAGATAGAAAGTTAAAAGTTAAAATCAGGTGATCAGACTGATCTCAATACCCAGTACACTTTAAAAGAATAACACAACTAGTCTCAGGTGAGGTGGCTCATGCCACCTTACAGAATCCTAGCACTTTGGGAAGCTGAGGTGGGAAGACTGCTTGAGGCCAGGAGCTCAAGACCAGCCTGAGCAAGAGGCAGAGCCCTGAGCAAGAGGCAGAGCCTGTCTCTACTAAAAACAGAAAAAATTAGCTGGGCGTCGGGGCATGCACTTGTAGTCCCAGATACTTGGGAGGCTGAGGCAGGAGCCCGGGAGTTGGAGGTTGCAGCAAGTTATGATGACGCAACTGCACTCCGGCTAGAGTGCGACCTTGTCTCAAAAACAGAACAAAATTCAATACCCAAGAAAGTAAAATTCACAAGGGGGTTGGGAGGAAGAAAGGGACAGAGAGAGGGATGGAGAGAGGAAGGGACAGAGGGGGAAAATGGTAAGAGGGAAGGCAGACAACCAGGCGGTGGCTCCTCGTGGCTCCCAGGGCAGCTTCCCGCTGGGCCAGGCCCTCCCTCCTTCCCGGAATCCACCCCCAGGCCGCCCAGAGCGCGTTCTTCTCCCTCGCGGCCCGGGTAGGTCCTGCGGGTTGCTGGAAGCCCGCTCTTCCCCTGACTCTGGTACAGGTCCGTCCTGCCGCGACTCACCCAGCCACAGGTGCCCGGACCAGACGGCCCGGCCCGTCTTTGTGCCCCAGTCCCCCCGCCCCTGCTAGCACCAGGCGCGCTCTCCTCGCGCATCGGACCGCGGCGGGAACTCACCTTCAGCAGGACTCCTCCGAGGAGCACGGTCTTGACCCAGAGCAGAGCCCTGGCTCCCGGGGCGCGACTGCGTCTCGGGGCGCGCCGGGCGGGGGCCGGGGCCATGGCGGCAGGAGCGCGGTCCGCGGCCGAGGTCGAGCCGCGCAGCAGAACCGCGGCGCGCGGGGGCCCGGCGGCGCGCCTGAGCGAGGCTCGCCTCAATAAAACGAAAGACGAACAAACAGAAAAGAAAAAGAAAACCCTCTGCGAATCTGGCAGGCGGACCGGCGCGCGGGCCGCGTGGAGCTTCTCCCGCGCGAAGTCAGAGTGTCTGCCGCACTCGGACGGCACGGGGAGAATAAAATGTCCTCTGGCAGCACCTCCTGCACGAGCGGGGGAGAGGACACAGGAACCAACACGCGGAGCCGCTGGGCGTGGGGTGCGTCTCCGCGCCCGGCCCGGGCGGGGACAGTCAGGCGCCGAAACGGGGGCGGGGTGATCTGGGGGTGGGGTGGGGGTGTCGCCTCCCAGGACGGCGGCCTCCGCTGTGAACCGGGTAGTCAGTCGGGATTCCAGGTGGGCCTTGATCCCGCCCTATTCTCAGGGCACCTGTCCCTCCTGTCCTCAAACCCGAACTTCCCCCCTCCTGACTCAGGACTCTGCGCCCCTCAGCTTCTCCCTCCCACCCGCACGGGCCTCATCAACCTGTGCGCGGCCGCACTGCACCCAGCTCCTTCGCAGGGAAGCTTCCTGGGCAGGGGCTCGGCCCTAGCAGCTGAGCAGCCAGGTGCTGGCATCGAGCAGGTGCTTGATGAACGATGGGTGGACGGGATGAAGGACACAGAGGCGGTGACCGCGGGTCACTGAAAGACTGTCACATCCTTGCCCAATCATCACCTTGCAAGGGAATCATTCCTCTTTTGGTCTCCAGTTTCAACGTCAGTTAAATGTCATCTGCCCTGGACTGCTCCTGATGTCAGGCAAGACAAAGGATCCAAATCCAGCCTTTCTTTTGGATATTCCTTCCCTCTTAGATTCTTGAAAGCCCTTGGGAGGCAGGACCATGGGAGACAACTGAGCACAGGAAACTGAATGGACCTTGGTGAGGAATCTCACCCACAGTAGAACCTCTTTCAAAATTGGAGTCAATCCTTTCAAACCTTGCCACTGCTTTATCAACTAAGTTTATGCAATGTTTAAAACTTCTTTGTTGTCATTTCTACGATGTTCATAGCATCTTCACGAAAAGTAGGCTCCATCTCAAAAAATCACTTTCCTTGTTCATCCATAGGAAGCAATTCCTCATTGTTCAAGTTTTATCATGAGATTGCAGCAATTCAGTCACATCTTCGGGCTCTACTTCTAATTTTACTTCTCTCGTGATTTCTCCACATCTATAGTTACTTTCTTCGCTGAAGTCTTGAACTCCTTAAAGTCATCCATATGTCTGAGCAAACAGCTTCCCTTCACCTCCCAAACATACTGGGATCCAGGAAAATCAATGTGTCCAAGCCATGTTAATGTAGTCCAAATACTCTATCTTATAGATACGTAACCCTAATCCTGTTTTATCTTGGTAACTCTCTGGTGCTTCATGGCAACAGGGCCTGGATTTTGTAATCTGAGGATACCATTCCTGTTGTGGCAATGCCATACTGTGACCAGGCTCAGAGACACATGTCTAAGTCACCCTGGACTGCCCCATCTCCCTTGTTCGTAACGACCAAATAGTTAGCAAATCCTGTTTATCCTACTCCTCAGGGTTCTCTGCGTCTTCCTCTACTTTCTTTCTTTCTTTTTTTTTTTTCCTTCTTTTTTTTGAGACAAAGTCTCACTCTGTTCTCTGGGCTTGAGTGCTGTGGCATCAGACCAGCTCACAGCAACCTCAAACTCCTGGGCTCAAGTAATCCTCCTGCCTCAGTCTCCCAAGTAGCTGGGACTACAAGTGTGCACCACCACATCTGGCCTGGCTAATTTTTTCTATTTTTAGTAGAGACGGGGTCTCACTCTTGCTCGGGCTGGTCTCGAACTCAAGCGATCCTCCCACCTCGGCCTCCCAGAGTTCTAAGATTATAGGTGTGAGCCACCACGCTTGACCTTCTACTTTCTATTATTAATGTATCTGTCAATATCTAGGTTGGGCCTGGATATCTGCGTGCTGTTCCCACCCATGTCCCCCATTGTCCACATCCTTCCCCTCTTCCTCATGGAGGAAAGGATGGTGGGAGGCAGCCTGTCCAGTGACAGGAACAAACATGGCCAGTGGCCCTCAGAGGATTAGGCAGGGTCTGCCAGTGGGAGATTCCGTGGTACTGGGCTTTGTATTCCACAGAGTGTGTGAGGATTTGATGCCACAATGTATGTACAAATACTTTGTTTCAAAAGCTCTATCAAGAATCTGTTACAGGACCCCCAGGTATGTGAATTGCTACAATGGAAGTCAAAGGGGAAAAAAAAAATCACAGGAAAGAGTATGAAGGCATCACAAGAAAAAAACAGATTTCATAAAAACACAATGATTCTGGTTCTTTTTTTTTTTTTTTTTTGAGACAGAGTCTCACTTTGTTGCCCAGGCTACAGTGAGTGCCGTGGCATCAGCCTCGCTCATAGCAACCTCAAACTCCTGGGCTCAAGCCATCCTCCTGCCTCAGCCTCCCATATAGCTAGGACTCCAGGCATGTGCCACCATGCCCGGCTAATTTTTTTTTCTATATATATTAGTTGGCCAATTAACTTCTTTCTATTTATAGTAGAGATGGGGGTCTCGCTCTTGCTCAGGCTGGTTTTGAACTCCTGACCTTGAGCAATCAGCCAGTGTTGGCCTCCCAGAGTGCTAGGATTACAGGCGAGTGAGCCACCGAACCCGGCCAATGATTCTGACTCTTCATAGTCATTCCCAAGAAAAGTTGCTAATGAAGGCGGATCCAAAATAACATCTAAGAACTTTGAGAAAAATACCACCAAACCTGTGAAGCAGTTCAAGAATAGGCATGAATGACCTCCTTCCTCTTGGCCGGCAATTTAGTTTTAGGATATTCCTTTGGCCAGGGGGTCCGTTCAGTCAGCCAGTGTCGGGGAGCCTTAAGATTTTACTTTAGTTCACAATGGGGTGACTTCAAAAAGAAGAAGAAAGAACTGAAGCAGAGCAGGCAACTCAGTGATGAAACCAACTATGACGTTGTTTGAGCAAAGCAGATTTGGGAGATTTTAAGAAGAAAAAACTGTGACAAAGTTAATGAGTGACTTGCAGAAGTTGATCTGAGGGAAAATTAAAACCATTGCATTTGAACATGATTCAACCCATGTAATCCAGTGTTACACTGCATATGGTAATGAAAAACACAGAAAATAGGCTTTTGAAGAATTGTGAGATGATTTTGTTGAATTAAGTAAAGCCAAATATTCCAGAAACATGGTTAAGAAATTTCTCATGGGCCGGGCGCGGTGGCTCACGCCTGTAATCCTAGCACTCTGGGAGGCCGAGGCGGGAGGATTGCTCGAGGTCAGGAGTTCGAACCAGCCTGAGCAAGAGTGAGACCCCATCTCTACTATAAATAGAAATAAATTAATTGGCCAACTAATATATATAAAAAAAATTAGCCGGGCATGGTGGCACATGCTTGTAGTCCCAGCTACTCAGGAGGCTGAGGCAGCAGGATTGCTTGAGCCCAGGAGTTTGAGGTTGCTGTGAGCTAGGCTGACGCCATGGGAAGAGATAGAAAGCGGTCCGACGCGAGTCGGCCGCGCAGCAGAACCAGCGCGCGCGGGGCCGTCCGCGGCGGCCTGAGCGGGCTCGCCTCAATAAAACGAAAGACAAAAACAGAAAAGAAAGAAAACCTCTGCGATATCTGGCAGGCGACCTGGCGCGCGGCCGATGGAGCTTTCTCCGCGCGAACGTCAGAGTGTCTGCCGACTCGCGACGGCACGGGGAGAATAAAATGTCCCTGGCAAGCACACTCCATCCACGCACGGCGGGGAGAGGACACATGGAACCAACCGCGGAGCCGCTGGCCTGGGGTCGTTCCGAGCCCGGCCCGGGCCCGGAACATGTCAGCGACGACACGGGAACGCGGGTGAATCTGGGCGAGCCGGAGGGAAGGATGGGAGGCCCGTCCAGGACGGCGCCACACAGGAAAAAATCCGCTCGTGAATCCGGATAAATCGTTCAGAGTCCGAAGCTTCCAGGTGGGGTCCTGATCCCGCCCTCTATCATCAGGCAACACCATGTCCTATCATGTCCTCAAAAACCACAGAACAATCCCCCACTACCTACACACTCAGCGACTCTGCGCCCCCAGCTTCTCCTACCCACTCCGCAACAGGCCTCATCAAACCTGATGAGCGCGACCCAAACAGCCTGACACCCCAGCTCCTTTGAACGACAGCCTTCCTGGCAAGGGTCTCGAGGCCTTAACAAGCAAGCCTGAGCATACCAGGTCTGGCAATTCCCGAGCAGAAGTGCCCTTGATGAAAACCGATGAGTGGACGGGAATGCAGGAGACACAGAGAGCGGTGACACACAGAGCGAGAGCACATGAAAGACCTGTCACTCCTTGCCCAATTACACTACACCCTTGCCAATGACCATCCATATCCTACTTTTGGTCTTCCATTTCAACGTCAGTTTAATGTCATCTCCCTGAGGACTGTCTAACCTGATCGTCAAAACAAAAGATCCAAACCAGACTTTCTAAAATAATTGGATAAAGTTCCTTACCCTTAGATTTCTTGAAATCCTTCTGGGAGGCAGTGACTATGGAGACAACTGACACAGAAACTAGATGAGAAACCAATTGGTGACGATGATCTCACCACAGTGAGTAACCTCTTTCAAAATGGAGTCATCCTTTCCAAACCTTGCACTGCTTTATTGTCAACTAAGTATTATGCAATGTTTAAATACTTTGTTATGTCCATATTCCACGACAGAATTACCAAATAAACATCTTCCCGAAAATACGCTCCATCTCACAAAAAAACTCACTCACTCTGTTCATCCATAAAAAGCAACTCCTCATTGTTACCAGAAATTTTATCCATATGAGCACTTGCAGCAATTCCAGCCATCATCTTCCCGGGCTCTACTTCTCCATTAATTAACCTTCTCTCCTCAAATTACCAGATCTCAACATCTATAGTTCTTAACCCATATATCATATCGACATGAAGTCTTGACCACAACATAAAGATCATCCAATCCATGTCAAACCCCGAGCCATAAACAGCCTATATCCCCTCTACACACGTCCCAACATACATGGGACACACTAGAAAGAAATCAATGTGTCCAAGCCCCATCTCGATAACCCGTAAGTCCAATACTCCTATCATAATAAAAAAACTAACCCCAATAAATACACATGTTCTTAATATCCCTTGGTAAAAACCATCTCATCGGATAGCTTCATATGCACAGGGCCTGGATTCATGTAA